AATTAAAAAGGCTTTAGCGATTAGTGTTAAAAATATTTATGTCTGACGAAGTTGTAAAACTACAACGAAACGTAACAAATTTTAAATAAAATAATTAGGAAGAGAAACAAAATGAATACAGTATCATATACTTCAGTCCAGTTTACTAATTAAGTAAACTGTAGTAAAAGTAGAGTTTCTTTTTACCAGAATATAGTTGAAGAGATTGGTTATCAAATGGTATAATTTTTATTCTCATACTCGAGTTTTTTCATAAAAAACACAATTTTTTGTAAGTGGATCAATAAATTTGCGACATAAAAAATGACAATTTTTTATTATCTCTTCAATAAAACAAGAACAAAACAACATTGACATCTATTACTATTTATATATAGGCTAGATATCCAGCACTATAAAATGGTGAAACCCTCGACTCTCTAGCTTATATAGTTGAAAACAATACGAATAGGCCAATAATTTTGCCTAAAAAGGACCTAAGAAATAAAACGTATTTCCTTTTGTATCTGTCCATTTTATTTGATTATTTACTACGTCGTTTCATTTGACAGAAAGACAACAACAACCACTAATCGAAAATAATACATGCGGAACGAGATTAAGAACTGTTTCAGGTTTAAGAAGTTGCAATAATTCAACAATCCTAGCATTACATTTTTGCGCGATTATATATACCAGTATTTAGTAGAATTTTCTACGGCTATTCGCCAAGAAACTTGATTTGTATGGTTCTCAATAAATGTATAAGTGTCTGAAATTTAGAGTGTATTATTTATTAAAGAATAAATAGTTAATTTTATTCGTCAATTATGGCTGTTTGTCTAAAATATTAGCAAATTTTCTAATATACTTGCACTGGTGATCGTACACACAAAGCTAAATTATCTCATGTTCACAGGAGTCTATGTAAGCAGTCTGGTATTTTTAAAAAATTTCCGTCAATATTCAAAATGTTTGTATATAAATATTTTTTGCCATCTTCTTATCTACGTGTGCAATGTCTTGTAGAATGTAAAATATCGTATGATGGTACATTGTATCTATATAAGAAAAAAAAGAAACAAAATTATTATGTTTTAGTTGTTTTTTGATATATATTTTGTTAACCTTTTGGAACAATAAATTTCGGTATCAAAAAAAGTTGTTTATTTAACTGGACCATCTCTATCATTATTATCGATGGACGTGTCTCAATTTGAACAAACAAAAAAAAACAAAAAAAAAAACGTTCTACCCATATATAAGAACGAGTGAATATACACAGAAAGAAGTTGTACTCTTCTCTTATTGTCTTATTGTCATTTTATTACAACAATTTTTTGTTGCAAAAAAAAAGTTACATAGTAAATTGTTGCATAGATGGCTATATTGACGAGATATATACATTTGTTTTAAATGAAAAATTCAAGATCTTGTTGAGGTAGATGATAAATATCAAGGTGAAAAAATATAATTTCTATTTATTAAAATATAGAGATATAGACATTACTTGAAAATGATCATAATGACAATAGAATCACTTTTTTAGAACTATAAATAGGGTGTTTGAACAAAATTTCAACTTAGAAAATGTTTGTTGTTGTTCGATGTATCCTGATAAATATTTTTTCTGTGCTTTATATAACAAGTGAATTAAGTTATATTGAAGTAAAATATCCGTTACGGGTAAGTAGACTGAGTACTTTTTTAGAAGAAAAACTTCCACTCTTGAAGACCCCAATGACAAATTTGCTGATTTTGTTTTATTTGACTGCATTCTGAACTTTGAAGTTGTTCTTTCCCAATCGAATCATTTTGTTTCAACGAACTGTACAGTGTTAGAAGGGTCACTTGTGAAATTAAGTTCTTAATTGAACTCTGAATTGAATTTAATTCTTAAATTTAATTCAAATGTAATCTAAATTTTGTTAAAAATAGAAGATTATTTTAGAAAATGTATTTCTGTATGATACTAAACCACACGAAAAACAACTAATCGTCAAAATTTTTTCCAAGATCTTAACCCATAAAATATTCCAATGTTTTATTTTTTCTCGCTTATTGTAGTTTTTTCATTTAAACATTTTCAGTAGACAGGGATTATTTTTGATTGTACCACTTTGAATGTCACCAAGTTATATTGACTCTCGTTTATTTGAGATTCACTGATTCGTTCTTAATGTGATAAAAAATAAAAAAAAACAACTTCTACGTGAGAATTATTTTCTCTTTGCCCAAATAATTATGTACTCAGGTGAAAAAGAAAAAAATTAATATTAAGTCATAGATAACGTTTTTATATTTATTTCTCTACTTAAAAGCAATTTTTAGTGGACGTAAATTATATCTGTTTTAATGATGCAATACATTATCATTGGATTAATTTTCTGCCTTTTCAACTTTATTTCTGCTGAAATTACCTTTATCGCTGTTCGATTACCTTTAAAAGTAAATAAAATGCTTTTGTTTGCTAAAATTAGCGAATATCGGACAGTAGAGACGCATGCTCTCTATCCCGATCGGGATATATATCCCATTTTGATACAGAATATATCTCGATCAGGATATAGTCAAAAAATATATAGCCCAACGCGGTATATAAATTCGACCGTTTTTAAATAAAATTCGTTAGCGAAAAAATGATGATATTAGTAGAAAGTGTTGACATCACCATTAGAAAGCGGAGGAAAAACTACACTAGATTCTTTTTTCCTCATGGTTAAATTTTTTTTTCCGTCAGCAATCTTTTTTTCAAACAAAAGTAACTAACTATCAAAAATCTATATCCCGATCGGGATAGTTCTTCCGCTATGAGAATGTTAAATATATCCCGATTGAGATATGCTTCTTTACTGTTGGATACAAGAATAATCTTGTATTAACTAATAAAACTTTTTTAACAACATTAAAATCGAATTGTCAATAGTAGTCTAGTTTGATTTTCTTCTAAGGTCAGTATTCTCTTGAAGCCTTTGATCTACTAGTTATGGTATGGGCAATAATCGATAAATATTTTATTTAGGGCGAACCGTCACCCCCTAATGCTGTGTGGCCGCATCCTCAACAAATACAAGTGACCGGTACAGGTTTATTGTACCTTAAACCAAAACAATTGACAATCAATTCGAATTTGGATGAATGTATCATAATAAAAAGTGCGAAACAACGTTATGAAAATATATTTTTTCCACCCACATTTACTATTGTTAATCCACCGTCAAATGAGGGTATACTTGAAAGTTTAACATTAACAGTTGAAAACAAAGTTTGTGAAGAATCTTTAACATTAATGTCAGACGAATCTTGTGAGTATTATAAATTTCTGTAGTGTGTGCGTTGGTTTAGTATTCTTAACTTTTCTGTATCAGATAAACTAACTATCAAAGACAAAAAAGCTGATATTGAAGCGACAAATGTATGGGGTATATTGCGTGGTATCGAAACATTTTCTCAACTATTGTTTATTAATAATGATAATCAAGTTAGTTTATCTATCTATAAGTTATTTAATATTGTTGTTATTCCAATTATTTTTTGTCTTTTAAGCTAGTAGTGAATGATACGGTAACAATTATTGATAGTCCAAGATTTCGTCACAGAGGTCTAATGTTAGATACAGCTCGTCACTTTCTTCCAGTTCCAATATTGAAAAAAAATTTGGTACGACGTTCTTAATGTAGATTATTTCTAACTTTCTCATTTCTCTCATTTTGCACAGGATGTAATGTCTTATAATAAGTTGAACGTATTTCATTGGCATTTGGTTGACGATCAATCTTTTCCATATGAAAGTAAAACATTTCCCGAACTTTCCAAAGAAGTAGTATCTACAAATTAAATAGTTTGAAATATTCTAAAATAAGTCTATTTTAGGGTGCATATTCACAAGATCATGTTTATACGCTTAAAGATGTCCAGGAAATAATTGAATTTGCTCGACTTCGAGGTATTAGAGTAATTCCAGAAGTAAGTTTATTTTGTAGAACGATATATTGTCCTTTTTTATCTTATTTTTTTCTTTTTTAGTTCGATACGCCAGGTCATACGTTTTCATGGTCAAAAAGTCATCCAGGTTTGTTAAGATATTTTTTAAACACTTTTCAATAAATTTTAAAGTAACTGAGATAGAATTCTTCGAAAACCGAATTTAGCGTCCCAAGCAAAAACGACCCAATTTTTTGGGTTATTTATCTAGATTCAGCTCCACGTACATCTAGATGCACGTGGACCTGAATCTAGATAAATAACCGTTTTGTTTGGGTCGTTTTTGCTTGGGTTGATGAAGAATAACCCAAATATAACGAGAAGAAGTTTCACTTGATAAACTTTAGTTTTCACTCTAAATAATATGATGTTTCATTCCAGACCTAATAACGGATTGTTGGCAAGATGGTAAACCAAATCAAGCTATTTATTCTGTGCAAGGAGAACGAGAAATTTTTGATGTTACAAAACCTATAGTTTATGAAATCATGGAAAAATTACTGAATGAAATTCACGAAGTATTTCTAGAGAAATATATGCATTTGGGTACAATTTCTCTCTACATATGTAAATATAAAAATTGTATGTTGTGTTTTCTATTATGGATTAGGAATGGATGAAGTGTATGATAAATGTTGGTTAGTTAAACTTTTGTATATAGAAAACTTTTTTTATTTGATTTGAATTTGTTTTGTGTGAATAGGTTATCTAATCCGAACATAACAAACTGGATGCAGATAAACAACATGAGCAATGCTACTGCATTGCATACATATTATGCGTACAAAATTCTAAACATAACAAAAGATATCGGATTAATACCTGTAGTTTGGCAAGATGTCTGGGATGAGCATGTCAAATTGCCAAGTGATACGATAATTCAAATTTGGAAAGATGAAAGTATTAGTGCTGAATTTAATAGTTGGGCATCATACTTAAATAAAGCAGCATCAGAAGGATATAATGTTATTTTATCTAGTCCATGGTATTTAAATTTTATCAGCTATGGAAAATATAACACAAATGACTCGGTGATGAATTTGGACTTTTTTAGATATTATGAAGTAGAACCGTTACAAACGTTTTCAGGTATATACTGGACGCGTTTATACTTCAAACAACAAACTAAATCAAATAATCTTTGTTTTAGGTAACGATGCAGAAAAGCGGCGAATACTTGGCGGCGAAGCCTGCCTTTGGGCAGAATTTGTGGACGGAAGCAATGTAATTCCACGCTTGTGGTAAGAAATTATATAAATATGTTTTTAAATCCGAACTAAAAGATGAATTCACATTTTTTTGAAAAAAACTATTGCATTTCCTTTTCAATCATTCTTTTTTACTATTAATTTAGGCCCGTAGCCAGTGCTATTGCTGAACGTCTATGGAGTGATCGAAGTGTGAATAATTCCGAAGATGCACAGTTTAGATTAGATGTACATCGTTGTCGATTGTTAAGGTAAGGTTACAGTTTTATAATATTAACTTAATTCATTATTTGCATCGCTTTTAGGCGTGGAATTTCTGCTCAGCCGATATTGACCGGCTATTGTGGAAATTATGAGCCTGGTATGGCAAAATCGGTGATTAACAATCCGGTATTCAACTACGAGATAAACGTAACCCCCAATAATGATGGAATTAAATTTCAAAATAATTTCTTTATGTTGCTTATGCTAACTATTTACAGTAGTCGAATAATACTAAACAAATAAAAACTATATAATATGGAAATTTTTTTTAATTTTAATGCTTAAAACTTTTTGTAAATAAATTCAAATAACAGTATATCATCTAAGGATGTGTTATAAACGATCGAATAACATTTATTTTGTTCACAAATCGTACACTATCAATTATCCACTAAAAGACCTGTATTTAAATTTGGTTTAACAAGAGAACAATCTAACAGAAGCTCTAGAAAAGGAAGCCTCGAATTTTGATTGTTAGAAAGGTCCAGATATCAATGAAGTAATCTGAAAGTGTCAATAGACCTGGTTAGTTGTCACATGATTTTAATTTCTTTCCCTCTACTAAAATTTCACTTTATTTCATTTGTAAATGCTTTTTAGTTAGTCAAAAAAAAGTAATTTGATCTTTCAACAGTCTGTAAAAAAAAGAAGAAGATAAGAAGAACAGAAGAAAAAGAATATGTACAAGGTCTCTCTGGTTTACTAACTGAAATTTTTATGGTACCATTGAAAATTTTTTGAAGAAGACGTCTGATACACATTGAAATCAATAATAATGACAAAAAACATCTGACAATGACGACAAAAGATCATTTAAAATTACCACCCGCATGGGAAATGGATCCGTGGATTTGTAATCATCATGATGGACGCCATCATCCTAAACATGACCATGCAACTACAGAGAATACAAGTAAAAAATTGTACCGATCCGAAATCAAACCATTATGGGATTCAGATTTAGAATGGACTTGCCAACATGGTAAACGAAGAACAGGTAATATGAAACACACATTCATAAATGAACATCGGATATTTATGAAAGTATCTTATTTTTTGTTCTATAGATGGAACAAGTTTTGTTAAATATAATACAGAATCAAATGAGCATCGACATCCGTCCGGTCGTGCAAGAACTAAACGTCTCATACCCCATTCTTTATCAAAAGTACTTCCTTCCTCATATCGACATGGTATTGATTACACGAATCGAAAATCTGACATACGGACACCGCTAATTATCCCCAAAATGTCGGCAAAATCTCGTGAACGATGGTTAAGAGTTCATGCTGCTTATCTAGGAAAATGGCCGTATCGCACGGTACAAGAGAGAAAAGCGCATAAACGCAGAAAGGTGAAAAAGTGTAATGAAAGACCAAAGCACTTTTCCCATTCGGAATATGATGCTACATCGTCCGCTATTTCTCGATGGGAATCGGAAGATGAACGTTTTCAACAACAATTACGCGTATTACCTATGTTGTCTGGCACCGCACATTATGTGTCACATTTAAAAACAATGGATATTGATAAACTTAGTACATCGAGTAGTCAACAGGGTTTAGTTAAACAGAAAAGAAAGCGACGTGGACGACCAAAAACAGCTTATAATAGAATTGTTAGTCAAATAGAACCATTGCCAAATCGACCGAGCACAGGTTATGAAACAGAAGATGAACGAAGAAGAAGGTTAACACGACGTACTAGTTGGTTAAGTTCATCGGACACGAATATTACCACAACAAAATCAAAAATACGTATTAAAAGTGGTTTATTAAATCATCTGAAAGTATTTGTTCAGCCACAATCACAATCACTGAGTCGAACCTCGTTAGCCACAACAATTCCATCCATTAATAGTCAACGAAATATAGAATCGTCAATATTAAAGAAGAAACCAATAACAATAAATATAATTCGAGATGATTTTGATGATAAATATGTTGGCACTGAAATAGCTAAATCTCATCATCAACGTCAACATGTTAAAATATATGATGTTCGTGACCAATGTATTCAAGCTGATATTGCGCGTCCGTATTTTGATTTAAATTATGATTACGATGATAAGATGATAGGTACAGAATGTTATTATGATAAAAAAATTCGATCACCTAATACCACTCACGCTGATAAATCGATAGAAACAGGTGAAGATTTTATTCAACATATTTCAATAGACAACAATTGTTCTTCATTATCTTCTTCAAAAGATAAAACGAAACAAAAGATATTTGAATCAGACAATAACGAAAAAAGAAATTTGTTCAACAATAATAACACATCTTCCGATAAGCAAGGTCAAAGTGTTCAACATAAAATGTCGAAAAATGCAAATAAGAATAAAAAAAATAGCAATTCGACAACAAATAGTCAAGATATTTTATCAAAAAATGAACAATATAATGTTAATAATGGTGGCGATACTAATAGTAGAGGACAAATATTACCATTAAATGATATATTTCATACAACATCAAATTATTTGGATGATAATGATAAAAAAAATGTAAATGCACATGAACAATTTAGAAGGTAAGATAGAACAGAATGAATAAATGAATAGTTTTTATTTATCTATCCAGATAGAATTCAATATCATTTCAAATTAGACAAGAATAATTTGAAATAATACTTTTCTCATATTGTCTTGTTGAGATACTTAACTAAATTCATTACGAGTCTTTTTGTTTATTTAAACATCATAAATTTAATAGAAGTTGAAGTCCTAAAATTATATAGCTCACTATAGCAATTATCTTTAATCTGTTTCAATAGTATACGGTTAAGTCTAGTTATGAATTAATTAGTTATGAATGAATTCTCTGATAAAAGTCGATAATTATTAACTAAACATGTAATATTAGAACAGTCACTTCGACAATTTTGTTTGAATAAAATAATGATGTAATATCATCATCATCATCTCATTCATAAAATTCATCTATTCGTTCTGTTATGAACTGTTTGAGATGTAAAAGATGTTCTTAGAGGTCAACTGTGTGGTTGAGATTTAAAATCAACATTGTTCACGTTTTTTTCTCATCTCATATCCCATGCTCTTTTCTAAGACACCCATCATATTGTCTTCGCTATTATGCCACACTTTACTCTTTTTTTTTCTTTCTTTACACATATATACATATGTATATACATGATACACGACAATATTGTTCATTTTCATATGACACAGTATACACTGTTGTCTTGGTTCCATCGCCGTAAAAGAAATAAAAACTGCATAAAAAAAGAATATGTTCATATGTAAACTGTTTAGTAATACAACTTTTGTTTTATGTATGAAAAAAAAAAAATCACAAATGTTCACCACAAATATTTTAAAAATATTTTTCTTATTTTTTCTTGTCGTTCAACGAATGTAAATGAGCAAAAATGTATCGTCTCTATCCAATTCCAGGCTTGCGTTAAGATTTAATAAATTATCAAGAGAAAGACGAATATTAACATGGTTATTAACAATTTTTTCATGTATCATGATTTGTCTATTTATTGGCATTTTTTTATTGGCATTAGCTTTTCATGGTAAGTGACATATATTTTATATTCGTCATTCAGCATATTTTGCATTAACAATTCTTGAATGTTATTAGTGATTGAAACAGTTCAGTTGACTATGAACTTTTTTACTATAAAAAATAGAATTTTTTCATATATATTAATTCTAAAGTTCAATTGTGTTAAGGACAATCAAAGGTTATCAATGGTAATAGCACCAGTATTGGGAATGATGGTGGAGGTAAATCTAAATTGATAAAAGGGACACATCTGTGTATTACTTCTGTGTTTTATTATCACATACAGCAACTATTAAGATTGCTACATCAACTCGTTCAACGAGGACAACAACAAGTACTACTATTCGTAGTACAAGCACAATTTTTATTTCACCTATTACAACTACTATAATCACTACTACGATTACAACAACTAGACTGCGTAAGATGTTGTGTTTTGGTTTTATACTATAAAACACGGCACATATGCACGTCGCATATATTTAATATACTGGTCACTTCACTTGCGCTTATTCTAGCCTATTATCATACTTAGCTTTTCTAGTATTTTATTTATTCTCTTTCGCTTGTTGTTTGTTGGCATTTTTATATTGTTTTTAATTATAGTGTAATATTATATTCATACATATATTTTAATACAACATTCATACGTTTTAGCTGGTAAATTTGGGGAACCATGTGATACGGAGAGCGATTGTAGAACGCCATTTTTATGTGACAAAAAATCCGGTGTTAAAACAGGCGTCTGTCGATGCCCATTAAATTATGATTTTACAAAAACTGGTTGTGGTAAGTCGTATAATATTGTATTAAAACTGTAGCTCTTAAAATGTTGCTATGAATTTTTCAGTTGGAGGAATTAATGCTGAATGTATAAAAGACTCTGATTGTCAACGAAATATGTTGTGTACTCCAACATCTTCGACTGAAATTCGACAATGTGAATGCAAGACACGTTATTTTTACGATTATGATACAAAACGGTGTAGTAAGTATAATTTATTTAAATATTTCAATTCAATTTATATAAATGGATATTTTTTGTAATTATCAGGAGGAGACTTTAATGCACCATGTGACACAAACGATGATTGTTTAAGAAATGGTGTTTGCAACAAAAGTGGAAAGCAATCATATTGTGATTGTACCGAACATTATCAATATTATGTAGCTGTTCAAAAATGTCGTAAGTTCTTTCACATATTTTTCTATGAGAACGCTTCAAAAGTTTTGTGATTGATTTATCAAGATTTTATTTGTCTATAAAAAGAGAAAATAAAATCTTGATTAATTAATAAAAGAAGATCACAAGTCGTTACACTCTTTTTTCTCATTTTATATACAATATACTTTGTCAAAAATTAGCTTCTAAAATAATGACATAAATGATTTAATTCTAGTCGGAGATCCTGGTGCAGTATGTCAGAGAGATAGCGATTGTATAGATAATGCTGAATGTCCAATTGGTAGTGGTCCAATACAAAGGATGTGCTCATGTGCGAGACAATATGTTGAAGATAATTATCGAAAATGTGGTATGGAACACTCTCTGTTCTAAACATAATTTGTCAATAATTTCATCTTTGCTTTCTTTTAATAGTTGATCCGTGTCCAACTTCGACTGTGCAACTAAAAATAGTTCGTCATCCAGGAAATTGTAAAAGATTTGTTGATTGTGAACACAAGTATGTGTAAATGAATAATTTTCACAAATTATTATTTAAACAAACTTTAATATATTTAGACGAAAAGATGAATGTCCAGGTAAATCATTTTTTAGTCTCAAATTACAGAGATGTGTGCCAGAATTTTCGCAAGCCGAATGTGATTAAGAAGAAAGATAAAGTACACATAATACTTATTTACGTTTACTATTTTAAAAGGCATACACAAAAATCTAATAATAATTTATTTTAAAATTCTTTGTTTTTTTAAATACTTTCTTTATGAAATAAAACTTTTGTACACGAATAAATATTTTTTTCACATTTGTATTAATTAAATGAAATGATCAATGAAAAGAAGCAAGGTCAATAAGTTGAATACTTTAGATTAAAACTTTCAATTAGAATATGAACTAACTGTCTGGTTGAATCCTCGACATATTCCTTGAACAACAAATAATACAACAGACTTTCTATAAATTTTTTCTAATAAATATTCAAACAATGATCAAAATTCTTGATCAAGTAGTGAAAGTGGAAAAAGAATGCATTAATATTAAATATCATGTAAAGAAGAAAAAGAAAACAAATCAGTCATGAATTTATTAAAACTAGTCTTACATATTAGTCTAAGGAGTATGTGTTGAAATTTTCTGATATGAGTGCACTGTACAAAATTTCATCAAAAACAAGATAGACAAGAATAGCAAGAGTGCAGCATAAATATGTTATCTAATGATGGGAATTTCTTTAGTTTATGTACATTTTTATAGGTCAACAAAAAAAAACCATGTAGCATTGAAGTTGAGAAGGACAATAATTTTTATCTTAATCAAGAGATTTATTTTATCCAACGTTGCTGTGGAAGCAATCTAGTTCATCAGTAACTAATTTGTTTGCAAAAAAATCAGTTTTGTTATTTTTTTAAACTAAGACGTTTCTTCTTTCTTTTTCGCAAGTCAAATAGAATAAAATAAACAGAATAAGTAAATATGAGCTTTATTATGTGCGGACCGCTCTAGCGCTGCATAGCCAATATACCAGAAAGATGACACTCGCACATACGTTGAAAATTTTCCGGTTATTGTCCGGAGCAAGACAATGAGAAAAAGAAAAAAAGGTTTAGTATCGTTTTTTCTTTATAGATCTCGAACGATGAATGAAAAAATCGTTGAAGCAAATTTGTTCCTTAATTTAAAATTATTCTTTTAAAATAAAAATACAAAAAAAAATTCGTCATTGTACGCTACATCGTTCACAGATTTTCACATTTATAAATGAAAGTTCATGCTACTAAATCTCACTCTTATAATCCAACATCTGTACATTATGCTGCTGTGTGTATCTTTCTCACTAAAACTCACAAAATGACGGAAAAAACGAAGATGCCAAAAGAGAGCATCAATTGCATTCATCTGCACTAGTATTTTACATCATCTCGTACAATTTTGGAGATCAAATAGAAAATCAACAGAAAAACTAAACTAATGTAATCTAATTTCCGTTGCTATTTTAGATGGATAAAAACCATTCTAGAGGGAAACCATCCGGAGGCATAATACAACTTATTCAACAGTTACAACAAACGACAACGAATAGAGTATGAAAACCGTTTACACTGTTTTCAACAGCTGATTCCCCGAACATACACACACACACACACACAGTGTTTTTTCCTGGTTTTATTGTTGACTATTTTTATATAGAATATATTAAAAGGACAAGATGACTAGAACTACAGATATCAAAGTTTTCGATAGTGCTTTTAGCACTCAAATTACAGTTTAACGGCAGCATTTATCTTGATGATTTCAATCCACATTTTATATTTTCTTTAATTATCAACAAAATAAAGAAACTACAAATATTTTATCTATTTGAAAAATAAGATCATTTGAAGAATACTGCATACATCGAGAACAAGAATAAAAAAACACATATTTCGTTATACAAAAAAAAAAATGAATCGTTTTCACATTGAATTAGTTTGAATAGTTAGTTCTCATATCATATGAAAGACGAATATATAACATATCTAGTTTCAAGCATTTTCTAACAACAAGTTATAAAATATAAAAAGAAAACAAGATGAACAACAATAATAGCGAATATAAGAGAAAATAACATAAAAAAACAACAGTAAGGCATCATTATGTGTGTATCTGATTTTGGATAAGTAGAATCTGATTACAAAAAAAAAATCGTTCACAGTCAAAATACAGAAGTGTTTGAAAACTATATTGCTCGTTAACAAATCCACTGATCCTCGAAAAATATGGCATCGAGTTGGAATGTTCGAAAATGTAGGGAATTAGTAGCATAAAATATGGATCTAATCCGCGCTGGCTAAGACGATAAGTATCAATTTTTTACCAGAAATGAACTAAACACATAATAGAATTCAAGCAATAAAAAAGCTAAACATGCGACGTAAGTATATGGAATAGAAAAAAAAACCCAGAAAATATATTTAATCAAGGTTCATTATAGATAATTTAATACCACAGCAACAGCACCATAATTATAAAAAATATATAATGGACAATTAAAATGAAACGAATTTAAAATAATTTGAGATCATAGGTTATTAGTTGTAAATCTCAAGTTAATATGTTCATATATAGAAAAAAGAAAAATGTACAGTTGAAGTAAAACGTATAAAAAAAGAGTAGTTTATTATTATCGATGAAATTTGGTATAGATGTAGTCGTTTAAACATAGTTTCGATTCTTTAATATCGTCAGTATTGTTATACCATTTTCATCGGGTTGCTTTCGCTGAGACGAGACATTTTCATTTGATTTCAATGTGTGATTTTGTGACAGTTTTGCTTTACCTAAAAAATAAAGTAATATCAACAATTAAATACTTCATTCATTCAAAAATCAAAAAGTACAAAGCAGAAAAGTTGCAGCGAATAATATGACTAAAATGTGATTATCCAAAACACACGTTTCTTTGCTCTGAAAAAAGTGTAGTTAGTAAGAATAAAGCGAATTTAAACTGCACAACACATAATTATGTGAAATTAAAAACATACAACACACAGTACATATGTTAAATTATTCGAGACATCTGTTTAGTACTTACCATTAACATACTGGTATATCACGACTCAATAATGCTGTGGATGTTGCTGTAAAAAGATTAGAAAATAATTTTGATAATGATAAAAAATTTTCAGTTTACTTTAGTTTAAAGCACCCATCACAAAAAAAAGGTTTTAAATAAACACTGAGCAGATAAATTTTATGAAGCAACCATCGATAAAAAGGCTAGAGCGTAAAAGATCATTACTTAAGCAACTGCATGGCAAACAGTTTTCTCCCAAAGATGTAAAATATTAAACCATAGCCGCATCTACGAACAGCAATATTCCAGCCGTTAAAATGAAGTACAGTGAAACACAAATAGCTCCGTACTCGTTGCGATCAATTTTATCGCAAGTGTCATTCATTAACGCAACAATCAAATTAGGACAACAATAAAATATTGCCAAAAATTATAATGATAAATGCAAAATAACAAACATATTCTATAGAAAGCAACAAAATTTGACAATAATACCTTTTCCTCGATTTGGGGCAAAACAGGGACCCCTCTTGTTCCGAGTCGATTTTTTGATGGTACCGAAGATACATTAGGAGGAACAGGAGGAGGTGGATGGGATCGATGTGGAATAGTTGGCGCAATTGTCGAGGATGATGAGCGTGCTTTCGAATCGTTGTCATCGATAACACTGGCTGTATTTGTGTTCATATCTGACGCGGATAGAAAGAAAAACAATGCACTCCGTGCACGATCTGTACCAGAATTGGCAAAAAACATAAATTTAATTCAAATCTCACAGTATTTCCTAGTAAAAGTTTGCAGAAGTTGTTAATTACACTAGATGCCTTTTTCGCGCGCCCATCACCTATGCTCACCATCAAAAGTTTTTCGCCCATGCTTATAGGTACCCATAGGCATGGTTAACAGACATGATGTCTAAATTATACAGATAAAACTGCTTGTGTTCTGATTTTTTTAATAAAATGCACGTAGACTAGCAAAAACAGTTGGACAACGTCAATAATACTTCTCAATTGTCTTTACACCCATTATTTCTTCCACATGTTTTATTCCTCGTACTTACTACATGGTGTTAGATTCAAAAACTAATCTAAAACATGTTATGCGAACATATGCGGACATAATTGTCATTCTGACAAAAAATGAGTTTTGTTTAAATAAAATAAGAAACAATGCAAGGAACATCTATAGAATATTAATATTGCAGATGAATATCTATCTTACCTGCACCCGGTCGTCGTCTTCGTTGAGGATTCGAGAGATTTGAGTCTTTTAATGCTGATCGTAAATTTGATACAACATCAACGTCTTCATCTGACGGTTTGAAGTATGTATTTTGTTCATTTTTATTTTCATTTCGCTGTCGTTTTTTTCCTTCATCAATAATTTGTTTAGTCATTTGAGCACGACGAAGTTTCTCTTCTTGCTCACGCCATAATCGATTTTCTTGTACACATGCCTAATGAGAAAATAAAAATAAAGTAACAAATTTTTACTTTTCGACCAATAATGAAGAGTTCTTACAGAAAATACTGTACAAAATGATTTTAAATCGGCAAAAAATTCATTCAAACTATATTTTTTTCCATCCATTGTTAGAAAATCACATAAATCTTGATAGGCACTCATCATTTTGACATTCAATTGTTCCAGACGTTGGACATCATCGGTAGCACGTTTAACAAAACCCTAAAAACGTAGAAAAGGATTAGTGTAAATAAAGTCAAAAAGTAAGACGTTTAAATCACAACCTCCATTGCATCAACAAAACGATCATTTGGATCTTGTGTAGGTGAGTTTTTACTATTGTCTAAATCCAGTTGAGCACTGTTCACACGTGATTTGACTTCTTGTAATATTTTTTGTAAATCGTTTATATCAACTACAACCAAAAGAAAAGTGATAACGAATATGAATACTCAAAAATAAAGTACATACTTTTTGATGCGACTTCAGAAAGACCTTGAAATTCTTCCGGAAACTTCAATAAATCTGGATGATCTTTTTCAACTTCTTGTGCTATAAAATGTAATAATGTCCGTTTTCCATCATTCGATTTGGTTGTATGCAACTAAAATAAAAGTAAAATTTTTATTCGTATTAAACGTATTTTAAAACAATAGTTACCCTTGGCAGAAATTTTATATCAAAACCATAAATAGGTTCATATGATTTGGCGCTTGAATTCATGTAGTTTCCAATTGTTAGAATGAGTTCAAGCATTTTATGAAATCGTTGAGATTTTCGCACAGCTTCACACGCTTGACGTCCAGCAACCAGATGCTAAAAAAGTAAAAGAAGATTAACAAAAAACATAATAACAAGCTAAACAACCTACCTTTTCTGTATCTTCTAATTGTTCTTTATAACGAGCTTTAAACAAAAGAGTCTTAATTCGTTGTGGTAAACGTTTAATATCACTAACCTAGAAAAACAGCAGTAGAAGTAAATACAATTGATCTACTTTATATCAGAAACACACAGCACAAAAGTATTGTTCCGAATCTGGCAGATCATTTATTTCATTTTTTAATTCTGATAATTTTTTTAATTCTTCTGGTGTTGGTAATGATTTGTCCAGTTGAGCTAATAAATCACTTGTCAAATGTTCGCTATCACAAGACATTAACCATTGACGAAATTGTTGTGGAGTTGATCTGAGTTGACTAAACATGATAGCTAAACATAGATAAATTGAAAATTAGTTTTCTGATACTGCGTATTGAAGCAAGAACACCTACCAAAGTTTCGTCCAGCATGAGCATCAAGCACATGAAATTCTTTCGTTTTTTTTGTTGTTTCGTTCTCGTTTAAATCTATATTTGGCCCTTTGCCTGAGTAGAAAGCACGTCCAAAATTGATGAAAGCTGATGATCATTTTTATTTACCTGGTACAGATTTGGTCGCAAAATTTTCTTTTAATGACGAGAAAAATGTTTTATCTTGATATTTTTTCTCATCAATATTGGCCCATAATGACTCCTTTTTTATTTCATGTGGATTAACCTCAAGTTATAAATTCAATTATAACACATAGATAAAAAACGAATTGATTATTGATCTTACTTTATCCCAATTAACTTTTTTTACGGTTTCACCTACAACATACTTTTGTTTTTTCGGTAAATATTCGGGTAATGGAGGTGGACCTAAAGGAAAAAATCTCATCACACAAACCAGTTATAAAAAATTATTCTATCATCAGACGCGTTACCTAACGCAACGGTCATTCCAGGAGGTGGCGGCGGAACGCCTCCACCCACAAAAGGAGGAGGTGGTGGAATGCCTCCACCTGGAAAAGGGGGAGGTGGTGGAACGCTTCCACCTGGAAAAGGAGGAGGCGGTGGAATGCCTCCACCCGGAAACGGAGGAGGTGGTGGAACGCTTCCATCTGGAAAAGGAGGAGGCGGTGGAACGCTTCCATCTGGAAAAGGAGGAGGCGGTGGAATACTTCCACCCGGAAACGGAGGAGGCGGTGGAATACTTCCACCCGGAAACGGAGGAGGCGGTGGAATCCCCATACCATGGGGTGGAGGTGGCGGAGGAGGAATATTTTGAGTGTCTGGCATGGAAGGAGCTGGGGGAATACCTACAAGGGAGAACAAAAATAATTTTATAGGTAGTTATTCTGGATAAGAATAGAAAGCAAAGCAAATACATCGCGAGAAGCAAACAAGAAGCAGGAGCTATGCAAAAAAAAACCACTCGTGACATCGATTGCAGAAGTTCATTCGTTCTACATTACACAGGCTGAAGTTTTTTCCTAACGGGTGGGCTAGAAAGGATGGATCTCTCTGTATTTTGACAATAGCTTTTTCTCCTTACATTCTCAAGAGGCAATTTTTCGTTCAAAAGATGCGTCTTGAATTCTTTACAAAAAGCGCATTGAGTGTTTTATTACGAAATATGAAAGTAAATCGGCACACGAAAAAATATAGAGAAGTTCTAAAATGGTTAACTTTCTAAAGTACTTCTCAACGTATTCAAATTGTTTTTTGAACGCCTACAAAGGCATCAGGATCAGGGCTGGGCGAGTCCGATTCCGGACTCGCTGGAATCGTGCAGGTAACTGGAAAATCGCTTTTGAGGCGAAACCTAGTGGGTGATAGGTAATCGACCATGCTGATCTCGAATATCGACATGTGACGGGCAGTTAGGCCTCAAAAGCGATTTTCAAGTTGGTGGACCTCCCTCGTCAGTGTAATTAATCTTAGAAAGAAAGTTATTGAAGTCCTCGTATTTTGGATATGCTGAGAAGTACTTTAGAAAGTTAACCACTTTAGAACTTCTCTATATTTTTCGTGTACCGATTTACTTTCGTATTTCGTAATAAAACACTTAATACGTTTTTTGTAAAGAATTTCAAGACGCATCTTTAGAACAAAAAATTGCTTCTTGAGAATGTAAGAAGAAAACATTATTGTCAAAATAAAGAGAGGTCCATCCTTTATGGCTCACCCGTTATAACGCAATTTATTCTACTCGTATTCTGGAAGAATAAAGCTTAGCAGAAAATTATTCAATAGAAATTATAATCAAATTCATTCGAGCATAATTAACAGTTAAACTAATTAAAAAAATTTTTTTCTTCTCGAATCGATTGTCGTTTAGTAGTATTAGTAATTTTTTCAATAAAGTAAAATTTTTGAATGATTTATATACTCGATAATTACTGCATTTCTGTAATACAAAAAACTTACCTAGCGGTGCTTGAGGTCCGTTCATTCCTGGTGGAGGAGGAGCATTTGGAATTGAGCCTGGAAACGGAGGTGGAGGTGGAATATTGGTCGGACCAGGTAATGGACAGGAGGGTGCTACTGGAATATTGTTTGGTACAGACAAGGAAGAGGGGAGTGGCGGTGGTATATTGGTCGGTGGTTGAAGATCATTTGGAATTGTTACTTGGTGAGGGTCTTTGAATATATCACTGTACTGTTTTTTAATATTTTTTGTTGTTTCCTCGTCAACCTAAAGCAGAGAAAATTTCTTAGCACCGTTTTGAATTATAATCAATAATCTTACATTTTTTATCAATGACTCAATAACCTTATTTAATTTTTCATTATTTTCTTCTAAATGTTCAATTCGTCCTTTTAATAGTGCAATATTAACATCATTTTCAGCTGATAAAACGCTTGACGGTGCGCTTATCGTATGCGATATATCACTTAATGAACCGTCTATTCTAATTGACGATGGATCACTGACCCCAGAATCTGCTTCGCTGTTAAGAGACCATGTGTCAAAATCTGGATCACGTGCTTTTTTTGAAAAAACAATTTTTGTTATACGTTCATCAATCAATTTCAGATAAGCGTGTCTGAAACAAAAGAATAAACGGGAATAAAAAAAATCGTATCGCAACTATTGTCGATATCAATATTTTTTACCTAATTGCTGGATCATCTCTAATACAAATTAAACGATTTAATATGCTTGATAAAACATGTTCTGATGTTGTTCCCTGAACTAATTGATAAAAATACTCAAAACAAGCGTGGGCATCTGACCAAGATCCGGAAATAAAATCAAGTTTTATATGCATTGATTGATAATCTTCGTCAATTTTTTTATAAAATAAATCAACTTGTGTCACTGAATTTTCTTTATGTTTGAGATCAGAGCATTCATCAATTTTCTTTTGTAATTCCTAGATAAAGGGTATAGAGTAGTTTAGATCAGTCAGAAATATTACAGTTTTCTCACTTCAAAACGTTGTTTAAAACCAGATCGAAATAATTCACTTCTAAGATGATATCGATGTTCTGTTGATAATGTCACAAATATAGCGTTAATACACATCAAATAATCACCCTAAAATAAAGTAGATGAGAACGTTGGTTTGTATTTTACATTACTCAATGACTAATACATACGGCAATGTCAATTGTATTATCTAAACCGTCAACTAAACACGCAAAACGTTCCCGTTTAATACACCACTTTCGAGCTGATATAGCTAATAGTGATGCTATATTTTGGCCATTGGAAGGACTAAAAAAGCATAAGAATAAACTTTCGAGTACGATTTAAACAAAATGTTATTTCTTACTTTGACTCATTTGGCATCGCTAATGTAAACAAAACAATAGCACAACTATGTTTTGTTTTTGTCAAACGTTCATCTTTTTCATTGTATAATAAATTCAATACGTTTATTGTACGTTCAGATATATCCATTGCTAAACGTTCTTTTAATGAATTAAAATTCCACTAAAGGAGATATCAATACTGTACAACAGCAAAAAGTTTATAACTTTATTATCAATACTTACGCCTAAATTTAAATAATTTTTGAATGCTTCGATTCCTGCTCCAATTGTATCATATAAATTATTCATTTTCTCTTTTCTTGGATCATTATCGTTATTTATTTTTCTACAATAATATAAAATTGAAATAATTGATTTAAAAATATACGTAATACTTGCTCTCGAGTTAATTGAACTTTTTCAATAAATACGTTCAAAGCTGAACACAATGCATTTGGTCCACGATCATTTTCACCAAATATCTTACTCCATCTAAACAACGAGAAGAAAATCAAGTATAACTTGTACTATATTAACTAAAAAAAGATATAAATTCATACTTTAATCCATATTTTTTCAACGAAAATGCCACTTTGTCAAAAACATCTTTACTATGTTTGGAAATATTGTCGATAGAGATATTACTCAAAAAATTGATTTGTACTTCTGGTGCATTTTGGCCACTCATTTCATTCTTTGAAAAAAAAATAGAATGAATCATGTTAAATGGAAACAAAGATGAACTCAAACGATAAAAAGATATATTAAACGATGATAAAGAATAGTTTTCTAACATGTTGACAGCTGATTAATAAATATAGATTAAACTAACATTAATATTTGGAAAATTGTATATTTCAACAATACTTACTGCTGCAAGATTGGAATGTGAGATTAGCATTGCTCTCATATGTTGCACACTCATTTGTTCAAATGTACGTTTTTTCGTTTCATTTCCAGTAAACAAATCATCCTGAAAAGAAATGTTTATTTTAGTTTCATTTGATTGATAAAAGACTAAAGAAATATACCATAAGTGTTTTGAATCTTTCTCGTAATTCTTCTTCAGGGAGTGAATTAATTTCTGACTCGTTATTTAATACCAATGTTGTTTGATTAGCAGAATCTCCACTACCTCCATATAACATTGGTGATGGTGATGTAAACGATGTACTACTCGTACGACCACTATTGTAGTCAACAATATTACTATCAGGCGTATTATCTATACTTTGATCAAATGGTATTCCCGGCCTAGATTTATGAGCTTTTGGCATTCTTATCGAGGCCTAGGATAGAAAGAAAAAGGGATATAATTGAAATTAAATATCAAAGAACAAACTTACCACATAATTTTGAACTCTCGACGATATTGTTGCCTGAAATATAAAAATAAGACATCAAACAATCTTTAGATAAAGACAACACTTCTTACCCCTCCATCCTTATGTTTGTCCTTTTTCTTATGTTCTTTTCCGTCACTCATTTCTTTTGATTAATTGAATGACAATATCAGTTCCATTTCATTTCTACAAAAATAATAGTATTCATTTCGAAATGTATAATCGTTATTTCCATGAATTTATATCGAGAAAAAAAAGAAAATCTTTGTTTTTCACTTATACTTTTATTTAAAATTATGATATTCAGAAGAGTCAAAACTCTTTCACGTTAGAAATACAACAAAAACGAGTATATATAAATCATCCAAGTATCACTTAATTGGAAAACAACTGGTTACATCATAAATAGATGTATCGTTAAAATAAAACAAAAAATTATTTGATAATAGGTTTATAATCGAATAGTATCCCATCTTCACGTTTGAAATTATACCGATCAGTAGTTTTGAACGATTTAAAATGTAACTTGACTTGAGTTTGGCTTTTGATTTTGACAAATTTACTTTTCTTCTTTCTCGCTTCTTTCATTCTGATCGAGTATTAATCCATTGTAGGAGCAGTGGAGTTCATTGTAACGAAACTTCGATTTGACATTGTGCATTGTCAGCAAAGTCCTTCATTCTCCCAGTATAACTGCATGATTTTGGTATGCTGTAAACGATGTCGAATAAAAATAGATTTAAACGTTTATTGATTCACAACGATTTGGTCTTAAGTTTTTCTTTATTAGAAAACATGACTCCACAATGAAAACAACAGACGTATTTGCCATGCAAATAGTCGTAAGCCTTTCTAACTGATATTTGAAATCTACTAAATCAAACGATTCTCCGCTCACTCCATAACCGTCTGAATCTTCCTTATCAATTTCATTTCGTAGTGTTTTTTTCTATACTATATTTTCCGTTAGTCCTATTTGTTTATTCAATCTTTTACACATCGTTTAACACTTGTTGATATCGGTTCTTTACCATCTATCGTGAAACTTTTGTTTCATTTAACATTGAGATATTGACTACATTTGTTTAACATCAGTTTCGTGTTTATTATACATATACTTTTTTCTGTTCTTTTGGTTCGTGATTGACACCAATTCGTGAATGAATTTTAATAATTAATGGGTCGATCAATTCAATTACTCATTTCGCTTTTGTTCCTTTACAATAATTCAATTTTTTTTCAATAAATGGAAACTTTTACTCCCATTGATAATCGTTGTTGTTTCAAGATGTTCACGTTGTTCTTGTTCTATGACACAATGTGGTTTCTCTTTTATTGAACAGACTATTGCGCTTTATTGGTCATTAACACACATGATTTAATGATTATGGACCAATCGACCTTTCTGCTGTTCTCAGATAATTATCTAACAAATAATTGTCATCTTCCTCCTCGACGTCTTGCTGTTTAACATAATTTTCATCATCAATATCAAGGTATAACTTATTTGAGCGAATTTGTTCAAACACGAAAAATATCATCGAATATAATCTGAAATGAGAATAAACAAAATCAGAAATGTCGTCTACGACGAAAATATGTACATTGACCTCATACAACAGACATTCAAAAACAGTTAAGAGTCAAAAACATTTAAGAGCTTAAAAATTCAATAGTAATAACTAATTCAATATTATAATTTCAAATCGAACAAAAATATTTATAGGTACAAACTCTTATTGCTGTATATCTGACTAATATATTTCAAACGACTAGTAAAATGTTCAATTTTCTATCATCTATTCATACGATTAAGTCAACTGAATAATATCTGCCTCTGTTTCATTCTCCTTTGGTAATAGTTTATCTAAAATAATCCTATTTTCGATTTAATTGTGGCCGAAGATGTTTTAACAACATGATCTTTCAAAGATTTTCCATAATTTCTAGCATTAATTCTATTTTTTTGTTTTAGTTGATATAATCTTGTTTGCTCTAGTTGTTGATGACGTTTTTGTTGAAGATAAGTATTTAATTTTCGTTTTCGTTGATCATTTTTTATTGTTACTATTCCTTCAACTATTTGTTCTTTCTTTTTTGTATTGGATGAGTGCGTATCTATGTTTGATAAATCACAACGATGACGTTCATTCGAATATTTTTTCGAACGTTGTTTAATATTTGCTAGACGTTGTTGGGAATGTAGAAGAAAATTTTGTTTTTTGCTTTGAAATGCATCTTGTAGTGATATTGGACTTTGTGATCCATTTTCCATAGGTAAATAAAAAGTTGATAACGATGATATTACTTCGGATAGGGAATCAACTGATGATGACGATAGTTGCTCATAATTTGATTTTTCTCTTATTTCAGATCGTCTATTATTAATTTGTGCTAATTTTTTAATTTTTTGTAACAAATGAGTTTGCTGATGTTGACAAGAAATAACTTGATGAAAAAGGTGTTCGATTGTATCCGATGTTTTTGTTGCCGGTTCAAACAACGCTTGAGAATAATCTTGCTGAAAAATATAAAAAGTAAAGAAGTAACAGTCTGTTCGAAAACAGGCAAGTTTTCCAGAATTACTTTATCTTCTGAATCAGTTAATAGTTTTTGATCTTTATTAGTTTCATTTAATTTCTGTTTTTTTATTGGAGATTCAAATTCCTTAAACTGTACAAGATTAGCATCATTATCAATTTGTGTTTGACGATTAATTGTACAATCTGTTTGAGTTGAAACGTTATTCAGTGTGTTGAGCGTCTGTTTCGACTGACTATTATCAGTATGTAATTGAGAATGAGCTAAGATAAATGAACAATATTAAAGTCGATGAAATTTAACTTTGAAGTAAAAAGATTCAAGATGGATTTTTTTATACATACTTGAAATAATCTCATTTTCTTCAGTTTGTGTTTGAGCTGGAGTGAGATGTTTTGCTTCTGAATTAGGAATTGAAGATATATCTTTAAAAAAAGTGAGAAAAATACGTATGAGATCCTTGAGTGTGAGATGAAAAGAAATGAAAGACGATTAGACACTTCAACTGGCAAACGGCTTTTCTCAGTATGTTGACCACCGAATGCTAGCAACTAGGACATGTGTCTCTAGCAATAAAAACAAGAATATTTTTCTAACGAAATAAGATAAACTACTTTACTTTTGCTTGATTTCTCAAAACATTTGCGTGGTGTTATTTCTTGAATATAATTTATTCTTTGTTGATTTGATCTATTTTGACTTGTTAGTAAATCATATTGTATATTAAGTGTCTGGTGATTACAATTGCGAATATTGTGACGATTTAGTTCAGTTATTTCTGCAAGAACACGAATTTGCCGAGCTGCAGAATTTGAATTTTGATCTGGATGTATTATAGGTACTTTTGATTGCGTTGAATGTAGTAAAGTTTGAATCATCTGTTTAAAATTATTAAAATCTGGTTTTTTTGTTGGTGTTTTAACTAAACAATTATTCTCATCGTTTTCCGTCTGTTGTTCTGGTGTAATCAATCGATGCTTTTCTGTTACGCCCATCTTTGATGGGGGTTTTGGTGGCAGTCCCTTATTACGATTTCCGGTATCATTTTTTTGTACAGTGGCTTTAACCCGTTTATTTGTTTGTTCTTCATTAACAGTTGTTCTGAGTGCCTGTAGACAACGATCGACATTAAACATCTAGATCAATTTTAAAAGAGATTAATTTCACTCACAGTTTCAATTTGTTGTGCAACTGATGTCCAATCAATATCTTCAATATCACCTTCATTTTCATCATACAATGTTTCATCTGATAACGATGTATTTGGCGAAATATGTTGCTCTTGTTCTATATTCCATTTTAATCGATTGTCTTTTGGCGGTGATAAATTTTGAAATGTAGAATCATTTAACGCATAATTAATCGTTGTATTTTCGATTTGTGAATAATCAGATGTGACAGGCATACCACGAGCAAAATCAATTGAATTTGAATCATTTAAATCACCACCAATACCTATACCACGATTTGTCCATGAAAATGCATACGGCTCAGATGAAAGAAATGATAGATCATTCTGATAAATTTGAAATGAGGAACTAGTCTCATCCACACTAGACTGTTTAGAATATGTCAAAAAGCTATTGTTTAAATCATTTGTTTGCATTTTGTGACTATCTAGAATAAAAGTAGAATGCTATAATGAATGCGGTAAGCTATCTTTGCTAAGCTACTAACTAGCTCATTCCCGAATAACAGAACTCCAGATTCAGATGTATAACAAGAATAAAAACACTGTAAACAATACAAATATTTTTAAATGATAGATTACTTTTGACACAGACAAATCGCCTAGGATAAATATCACTAACCACTGACGAAAGATTAGTTGAAAATTTTCCATGTTCAATAAATACTATGACTGACTACTGCCGTTTACTATAAAACAAACTAATTTTCATTCTCAATATATAGAAGATTAGATATATAGCATTTCAATAAACATTATCTGACAGTGTCTATTTTGGGAAAAGCTCAATAAATAAACATGCTGCATAAACTAAACTAAACAGCATTGGCCTAAGTTTCTCAGTAAGCAAAGAAAATGACTTTGAAAGAAAAGAATTCGATTTAAAAAATGCTCTTCTTTATACCGACCAGAGAATACGACGAACAGATTTTTTAACCAAACAGAAACCAATAATAATAGAATTGCATTGTTCATCTCTGTTTATCAAACAAAAAGATATAAGATCAACACTTTCTGGATAAATGAAAGCGAAACAAATAAAATAGACGTTGAATACATAACATCGAGACTTATCATGATCTGCTTGCCAACTGTAAATTGTATATTTTAATCAATCTTAAATGATAGTGTAGTGTCGTCGTTGCAATCTATTTTCTCATCCTTATTACCAAAAGCTATTAACTGTTTGACGCACTGTTTTCTGCCTTTGTCTTTCATACGCATTTCTGTACATTTTAGTTGCATATTTATTATTTATGTATCCATTTGTTCATCATTAATAATGTCTCAGCTTTTAATCGACGTTTTCTATTAATTCATTTTCTAATATAGGATAATTTTCTTGTATAATCGACCAGTTTTTTTTAATGCATTCTATAATTGCGTGTTCTTTTCTTATGGCAAACCACTAGTCAAGTAATTGATCGTCTTGTTTCAAATAATATAGTTTTAAATTAGTTGATCAGAATAACGATTGTTTTTGTCTACGCTTATTCAATAACTAAATAATCTCTTGGAGAAATTGATCATTCAAAAGTAACGATATGAAGGGGAAGAAGTACGTACACAAGAGAAGAAACAAATATTCTCTTCGTGTTGCACGATTCTTTATTTGGTATTAAAGAACAAGAAGCATCACCACAGCCGTTCTCTGCAATTTCAGAAATGAGATTTTTGTATTAATCTAAAAAAATATGCCGCAGTTATTTGGATCAAATTGTTTAACATAGCATTTCCTGTTGTTTTGATGTAACGATTAGATATTCATTTATACAGCGTTATTTATCCATATTAGGAAACAGTTCACAAAATCAGATGTTACTAGCGAATGAGTCATTTTTTCCATAATTTCACAAAGACAAAATTCTTCGAAAGTGAGATGCTATTTGTTATCATTTGAATATTAGGAAGCTTTCGGTTCAGATCCGTTGATTATATCACAGAGCGTCCACACTTTATGCTTGATATGGAGCAACTCCGAGGATCACATAAAATAAATATAGAGTGAGCATGAAAGAGAGAGGAAATAGTAACATTAATATCTGAATCAATACATTAATCATTTTTCTATATTTTACCATAAGTAAGGGAGCTGTTTTTATAACTGTCGATGAATGAACCAATCCCCAGACAGATATAAACAGAGGAGCTGATCTCCTGTCTGAGTAGACGTCTTTTTGTTTTTTATTTAACCGTTCCTTTTTGGAATGGCTCTAGATTTCAAAGATGACTGTCTTCATCAAAATATAAGGTGGCGCAACCCACTTTCTAAGACGACAAGATAAGCTACAATCGCATTAGAATATTATTTGTCGTTGTAAGTTATCCTTGAACGCAAAAATACGAACTTGACCATGTAGAATCTAAAATTTTTTTAATTTTTTTCCATACACTGACGTTTGCAAGTCCAATGCCGTTTACAGTATGCAGGACACCTATATCAGTATTTTAAAAACTAGATGAGACAAATTAAAGTACAAGCAATAATAAGGTACCAGCAATTCAAAAACGTTTTGGATATAATTTCGTTAAAACTCAATTAAAGAGGAAAAACCCATCGTAGATTTCAACAGGGATAAAATTAAGAACTTCGTAGGGTTTTTAAAAGGATCTCTAGAAAATTCGCTTTCTCTGACAAACTTCTAAAAACTGTCGATGAAAATGAAAATCTGAACTTTTTGAGTTCGTTGAATGTTTTCTTATCTTGCGAAATATTAGCTTTTAAATCATTTGACTAAAATAGAGAAGTGCAACTCGATCGGAAGGTTGGTTACAGGCACGATATTGTCAGGTACGAGTCGAATTTCTTTGACTTTATTCGAAGAAAATTGTTGTCGTTAATTTGCTTTATTCTCTATGAAAACATAAATTAGATAAGGTGCGTATAGGAATGTTCAGTTCTCGGTTCCGGTTTTCGCCTTATAACCGAAATGAAAAGAACCGTGGTCTCGGTTCCGAACTTAGGACCGACCCGCGGTTCTCGGTTCTCAGCTTAGAACAGGAGAAGAATTTATAAAATAGAATTCAATTTATAGTAAACAGAAGGATTCTTTTAACTGATAACAAGCAAATATATCTTTTTGTAGCTTTGTCAGTAGTGCGCATTTAGTATCTCTGAAAATCTTTTACACAATAGAAGAAACATTAAACGTGACGCAGTAAAATTCTGAATGTTTTATAAAAGGTAAACTATAATATTTTGTATAAACTATAACAACTGCATGGAAGCTGCAAGGTTATTAATCCTTCGCATTATTTTTTTGTATCTAGCAGTCCTCTGATAGCTAATACACAAATATAACTTTCAATGGGTAAAAATGTTTAGGACAATTTTCTTTTATGTAAAAGAAGTTGCGCTCAAGTATATCTTATGAACGCTAAACATAGCTTTCTCGAAATAAAACTGTAGTATCTGTGATTAAAAAGTTTCGGTTCCAAAAAAAAGGAACCCGTGTAAAAAACCGCGGTTCCGGTTTCACTGTTAGAACCGGTAGAACGGTTCCGATTCCCGATGAAGAACCGAAAATAAGAGAACCGCTGATCCGGTTCCTCATGCAGAACCAAATCGCGGTTCCAGTTCTTAACGAGAACCGAGAATCCCTAGGTGCGTATATATATACCTAATGAGAATGTCACTGTTAAGGGAAATTTTGATGTCCAAAATTTCAGCCACGTATGTTTTTCTTATAAAAATGTATCGTTTTTGAACACTTATGTATAGTTTTCAATAAATTTTTTAACAATAACTACTGATTATTAGAATGAGTACTCGCACAGTGAGGACGCATATCCCAATCGGTTTATATTTAATATTCTTACAGCGGAAGAAATTTCTGCTATATTCTGATCGGGATATAGATTTTTGAGCTTTTTGTTTGAAAAAAGGTCGATGACGGGAAAAAAGAGTTACTCATGAGCAGTGACGTAGCCAAGAGGGGACTAGGAGGCACAGCCATTTTCTGCTGACATCGTCATTTTTCCGCTAACGAATTTTATTTAAAAACATCGAATTTATATCCCAATGGGGTTATATGTTTTTTTACTATATCCCGATCGAGATATGTTTTGATTCAAAACGAGATATATGTTACAGTGCAAATTAAAATTCCACTAGTAGAGATTAAAATTTTAATCTCTAATAGTGAAAAATAAAATGCAGATATCTACACATAGGCTAAAGCATGTATTCTCCATAAACTAGGCTTTGCAGCGCAAGATTGATCTTCCAGACTCTTGAGCTTCCAGAATTGGATGAGAACATCCAAGGGCATTGCACGATGTATGAGTGAGTGACAAAAAAACATAAAGTACAAAGGCTAGATATACGAATCTATCAGATCATATCACTTTGGATATTGTTTTGTCACTCACTCACACATCTTGCAATGTCCTCGGATGTTCTCATCCAATTCTGGAAGCCTGGAAGCTCGATCTTGCGCTGCAAAGCCTAGTTTATGGAGAATACATGCTTTAGCCTATGTGTAGGCATCTGCATTTTATTTTCCACTAGTAGTGATTAAAATTTTAATCTCTACTAGTGTGGAATTTTAAATTCCACTATTTTAATTTGTACTACAACATATATATCCCGATCGGGATATAGAGTATGTGTTTCTACTGTCCGAAGAGGGACAAAGACAAAGAAAAAAAATGAGATTAAAGCGAAGTTAGACGACGGACACTTTCAAACTTGTAATAAACCGGTAAAAGTTACAGCTTTGTGGCGGGATTTGTTTTAATGTATTCAACATCAGAAAAGATTGTTCCATTTGTTCAATTATCAGATGCGAATCAACATTTTCATATGATGCACAGAAAACTGGAAATAATTCACTTAAGTCACATGTTGAAACATGTAAAGGTGATTATGTTACTCCAAGATAACAACACAGTTCAAAAATGACAAAACTACCAACGGTTTTGGGGTACGGGTGCGATGCTGTCAGGTACAGGTCGAGGACGGATCTGAAAATCGAACCCGTGCACATCTCTAGACTAAAATAGATGTTGCATAAAGAGAAGTAAGCGTTTTGCGCCAATAACACACGCTGAAGTGCCCGATAGCCAGTAGTTCCATTTTGTAGATCATCTACAAAATGGAACGTTATCGAGCCCATACATTAATAATGTATTGGTCTATCGATGTGAATAGTCTTTGGGCGTTTTAACTGGAAGTGTTTGTTAAAAAGCAACAGAAAAATTCAAACGTAAATTTCAATCATTTTCAAATGCGCCTAGTTTATTTTACAAATAACCCGATCGTTGTAGGTATTACAAAATTTGAGAAGACATTATCGTGTGAACACTCGCTTCCTTGCATCACTGACAACATGAAGTAGCTTTAATAAATATTTTCGCAGTTTCACAAGATCTTCTCTTGCAAAAAGTTGCATGTCGTAACAACTTTATAAAAGAAT